TTTCGATTCACCAACCTAATACCATCATCAATCTTCTTTCTCAACGCATAACGCATACAGCGAATCATTTTTTTTTCGTATTCTCTTACAAACGCATATACACAACCGAAACAATTGAGAATTTAGACAATTCTTCAACATAAACCAGTACATAAACTTCAGGCCACTAGGCTGCTTCGTAATCAGTAGAACAGGGAATGAGGATCACTTCAGTTCGTTTTTTTTCAGAATAAATGAATACTCAGAATTTCATCTTGATTTGCGAAGAAATCATGAGATTATATTGATAATAATAAGTGAGAAACTAGAGTAAGGACAAGTTTGCGAGTAAAATAGAATTCGAAAACTGCAAAAAAGTTCAATACTAAACAGTAAAATAAGCTGAACTTAACTGATTTTTTCAATTACACCCAAATGCGCATAGTGAAACTCAAATGGTTTCCTAGTTCAAACTGAAAACTCCAATCAATTTCTTTCGCAGAGGTGTCGTTTTCAGTTGAAAGCATCTTTTTTTTTCAATTTGTGTGATAGCTATTCGCTTATATGAAGTCGTAAAGGAGTTTTTGTCTTGTATCTCTTGCCAAAACACAGCCAACTTGTGACGAATATTCGATGAGAACAAGAAAGCATAAGGGAATAGAGTGCATACTAGAGGTATGCTCCTCGGAATATACTCCAACTGGTTGTAAGACGAAATGAAATGATCAAAAACCGTTTCAATTCATGGAGACGAGACGGGAAATTTCGTCTACGCGCTCGATTAGATACGAGACGAGAAATTGTATGATTCGAGCAGCAACGATAACATTCTCGGAATGATCCCTGCATTCATTAAAGAAATTTTCTCAACATTTTCAGAGATACGATAAATCGAAAAAAGCTTCGAGAAAGCTTGTGACACCATCTCAAAATATCCACAAATCACTTAAAATGCGGCATTGCAAGAAAAGTGGCGGCATTCTCTCGCGGAATAAGCGATAAGATTCTTCTCAAGTGCACGAAACGATACGAAACGAGAAACGTTCGAGAGTCATTCGTTTTCTCGTGTCATTTCTCGTTATTCGTTTCGACACGCAGACCATCAACATAAAAGAGACATACTGATGTGAAATAATGAATGAATAAATAAATTTCTGAAAAATAAATCGCATAAACCTTAATGTTACGATGCGAAAAGATAACGATATGGAGAAGGAAAAGCTTTTGGAAATAATCAAAACAAGCCTTTGTGCTGTCGCTATCGACACTGGCGATTGTGTTCTGAAGTTCAGTGATCTGATCTTGCAGATAGCCCATCTTATCTTGGCATCCATCGATCTGTTCACCGATTAAATCACGTTCTGATAGATCTTTCGTAGCGATGAAACGTTGCTCCTAAAAATTTTACCGTTCATTTTTTACACCGCAAACGCACTGACCATTTTCTGAACATAATCCATTTCGGCGAATTTATTCTCAAGACATACTCCTCACCTTCAAAACGGTTTACAATATGATTATGAATGACATTCGATAATCCTCGAACAAACCAACTAAAATAGCGAACACTCCCAAAAGCAAGGCATCTGCAGATCCATCGAATCGCACGACAATGTTCTCATATAGTCGCAAAAACATCACTAAACCTATTTATGAATTTATGAAAAAAAAACCGTACAAGATGTTGGATTTCGTCGATGAGTGCATGACGCTCATTCATTCGCCTCTCCAACTCTTCTTCCATTTTCGTAACTGATTGTCGTTGTGTTATCCTTCGACATATCTGTCAAACATATTCATGCATTACATTCAATTATTTCACTTCTGAACGTTGCTTTCATTCATAACTTCTAATTTAAATCGTCAATGAAGTATTGTGTACAGACTTCAATACAACTCATTTTTCAAGCGATCTAGACGGATGTGTAAAACTGATTGAAACACCTTACATTCTTTTCGATCGTTAGCCATTTATTTTTAGCATTTTTCGCAGAGAACGGCGCGATTCCAGAGGCACGACCCATTTGTAGACGAGCCCGTGCTGCGGCCGTCCTTGGCATTGCCTGACGAGCCGCAGCCGATGTGCGATTACTGGCCGCGGAACTGCTTAAATTCGATGCCGAATTCGTCGGCTCGAAGCCACCTCGACCCGTTCGTGTGATTCGGTTCTATATCGGTCATTATCAACGGACAACAACTTACAAGAATCATCAATAGAGGCACACCAACACTCACAAACGTAACAATTTTTCTCTATGGTCAATAATATGTCTTACATTTTGTTCAAAAAACAATACAAGATTCCGGAAATATCCCACAAATCCTTTGACTTCCAAGAGAAATTTTCATTTTTTTACTCAATAATGAACGAAATGTTTATCTGCGATTGATAAATGCTAATCTCGCAAAACAGTTAACATTGTTCGCGGCTGGCATGAAATCTGATTATTTGATACTGATTGGTGAATGATATAGTTTTCGCTTTTCTGCTTCAGTTACCAGCAAAATTCTGCTTCAGTTAATCCGCAGTGAATACAGTTTNTGACGATCTCGGTTCTCCAATTGCTTTATTTGATTGTCTTTCTTCCTATAACAGTCAACTGTCAACTTTGAGCCAATTATATCCCCTATGTATTGTTTTAATCAGTGGCGAACGAACATGTCATTTAGTCTTTCAAATATAAGTGATCCATCAAATTAATCCATCTATGATTACAGGGCGTGTAGCTATGGATGCATGCAGATTCATCTATTTTATTGTAATTGCTCTATCAATCCATCCATCATGATCTATTCATCAAATGTGAAGAAATCCATTTGGAAAAAAATTATCAAACGATATTCGTTTGTTGAAGTAAAAGTGAATAGAAAATCAGATGAGAAAACGAAACGAATCAACCTCGATTCCTTCTCTAATCCAGCTACTCGCTTCGAATGGGCCAATTCGGATGCTTTCGCTTTCTTTGCTTCTTCTTTGATTTTTTGCATTAATTCAACCTGAAGTGGACAAAAGTCATTCTATTATATATAACAAAAACATCATCATTTATTCAAACAATTCAGTTTCACGCGACAACATTTCATTACTAATGACGAGTTACAGAGCGCATAGCTATGGAGGTCATTTAATTTCACATATTCGGTGATCGCAACGATGCCATACATTAGCAGTCCAGGAATCGCGATAAAGTTCCACATTACTATGTCGTTAAGTTGTGAAATGACAGTTTTCGATACTCCGTGCATATGTAATTGTTTGCTGAACGATCTTTGTCTTTAACTTACATCGTTTACATTACGTTCACTTACATAAACATTCTTCATCTCAGAACTGACTATGAGAAAACCAATGAGAAAAGCGATAATCATAAAATGTCCATTCGGTCGTTAAGTTGAACGTGTTCAATTGTGAGTGTTACGCTGAATAAGCATTCACAGATATCAGGATTAAGAGTCGGAGAAGGTAAACTGAGGGAACTGAAGTTATCTGTGAAGAAATTAGGAATGAAACCACCTTAAGTTTCTTCATGTCGGACAATTCACCGCGTAACTTCATTAACTGTTGCTGTTCCATTGCTTGTCGAGCTTGCATTTTACGGTGTTCCCTTTCGACCGATTGCAACTTCTTGAACTCGGTTCGCATTTCATTCAGTTTCCTTTCGTAGTCTTCACGAATCTTCTTCACGTGTTCCGAATCGAGTTTCGACGCATTTTTAGTCGCTACAAAAAAAAAACGCTAATGTCAGAGACAATTGAAAGCAAAATTCACGCATTTCAAATATTTCGCTTAGCTATTCTGCGTTGAGAGTTATTTCTTGCAACCTCAAAAACTTATTCAGGGACTATGCATGTTTCAATTCAACTACTATCGGAAGTTCATCGCGTTAGCAATTGCGACAATAATGATAATAATGATAAAACAACAACGTTAATAACAATTCCGAACCCATTTCAGAGAGAACACGATCTCTTTCAGCTTCAGTGGCTGCGATTCGAAGGGACAATTCGGCGAGCTTCTTTTCATAAGTGATTCGTACCTTTAATAAACCTATTATCACTGCTGTTTCTTGATGGATTTTGATGAGATGAAATGAACGTATTGATAAAATACTGACAAGCAACAAGCGATTTCGACAATTCAATCAGTCACTTCACAATCTTTCAATCGCGTCACTGCACTACTGTTCTTGGTAAACTCAATGTCACTCGATAATAATGAGAGCAGTTTCTGTGTCTCCCACAATAAAAAGCTTACTATTTCAAGTGCTATTCACCACATCATATTCTCAACTCATCAACATTTGAACAGCTAAACCTCTACGGACAAATGGAAACAATTTTAGATCTCATGTACACCAACTGAACAACACTTGGTAAACGACGAAAGACTCGATCAGAAAATCAATGGATGAATAGAACGAAAAACAGAATTTCCTTTTCAATCGCTTCGCTTCGCTTCACATTCGCTCACATCACAGGGAATACTTTAGAGTTTCAAGCGGATTCGTTTCATATTATCAATGATAAGAAATAGTTGAGAAGAATGCTCTAATTCTATTCGTTACAAAAAACCAATCAGCACCAAAAACCCTTCACACTGCTCATTCAAAACGCTTATCTGATACAAATCAAATAGATTTGTATCAGATAAACGTTCCAGTGAAGATACATCTATCTTTCAGTGAAGATACAAATGCAAATAAAACATCAACAAATAGATTTTCATAGCTATGGGATATGATGACACCACAAATGCAGTTCAGATAAGTCATTGAATAATAACGATAGCCAATTTGAAATATTCACAAAGACTTTAGTCAGTTAATTGATTGCAATTGAATGCCACAGATCCTCTTCATTTCCGTATTAGTCGGTGAGTAAATGAATGAAAAAACTTTTCATGAGGGACAACTAATG